TGCCTGACGAGCCTGAGCCCGCTACCCCTGGACCCGACTGAACTGCGCACCAGCGGTGAGCTGCGCGTCCGGGATACCTGGGACAGGAACCGCAGCAGCGCGGGCAGGGGAAGGAAGCAGCCCAGGGCGGAGCCCAGATCGGCTGGGAGGCGGGCGCGGTCAGGGTCACAACCCCCCCCGCCCGAAGGCTACACACCCCGTCAGCTGGGTCGGACCAGAGTGAGTCCGAACCCTTAGGGCCCTGGGCTGGGGCCCGTGAGAGTAGGTGGGCCCGGGCCCCCCTTCCCCTCCCGCTGTGCAAGGGAGTTGGGGAACCGAAGACAAACTGTGGGATTTATTGACACCCAAGGGGGTAGTGACACCTGAGAGCGTCACAATGCTCATAATATAACATAAGAAGAGCCATACTAGTCAGAACAAAGGTATCTTGCCCAGTATCTTGTCTTCCAACAGTTGCCAATGCCAGATGCCCCAGAGGGAATGAACAAAACAGGGAATCATCACTCTCCTGTCATCCATTTCCAGAGCCTGACAAGCAGAGGCTAGGGACACAATTCCTACTCATTCTGGCTAATAAGTATTGATGGACCTAAACTCCATGACATTGTCCATGGCTTTCTTCCCATTGAGTGAGTGAATTTTTTTGTATCCAAAATAAGGCAGGTTACAACTTTTATTTTTCATGTTGATCTTCCAGCAACTTTCCTAAATATAGCCTTGACAAAATCATAGTCCTATGCATGTTATTTAGCACCTCTCACCCTTTCAATCATGCTTCTGGTCTTCTCAGTTCCCACAGGGACTTCATGAACACGATACTGGGAACAAAGGTAACTCATCACAGGATGAGGAGCATCAAATAATTCTCGTAAATAAGAGAAAAAACCATATTGGCTGAGGAAGAGAAAAGGTAAGAAAAAAATCACAAACATATCTTTAGTCTCGTTTGTTATAACAAGTTAGCACAAATATTCAAAAGGAAAAAAACAAATATACAGATCTTGAGGTAAGAGATTGATTTGCAGGGAAAAGCATGGTTCACAGCTACATCATTCTGCACCGACACCAAAAAATACTATGTTGACAATGGTTTTAAGATTAAGTGTTTTAAAACTTACTGCAATTCTTCAACTGATCTTGAAGGTCTGTTTTCAGCACATGACTCATTGGGTGCACATACAGCGTTAACTTTTAATTTCTGGTGGTCACGCACCTGAACAAACATTACATCAAACAAAATACTCAGTAACAAAACCCAAAAATTTTGAATGAAATTAAAAGGATACTAAGATATGAAAAAGATGCATTTCATAGAGACAAACATTTCCTTTAAATTGATTTAATCTCCAAACCATACATTTAAAATTATTCTGACTCCCACACAATACCCAAAGTTATTTCCATCTATTGAGGGTTTTTCATTTTCTCTACATTCAGTTAGCATAGTGGTTCTCAAACTTTTTGGCCCAGGGTCTACTCTTCTCAATTCAGACCTTTCCGTGAACCACCAGTCAACCACTCATGATGACAAAATGGGTGCGGTGCAGGATCTGGCTGGGAGGTATGGTGCAAGAGCAGAGTGGAGGTGCATGGTCTCGGCAGGAGTAAAGATGTTAAATATCGTCTAATTGACTAATCTAATAGTCAATGTATGTTGCATCGACTATTCGATTAGTCGATAGGGCGCATCCGCCTTTGAAGTGCAGGGCTATTGCTACACTTCAAAGGCGAAAGCGCTGCATGGAGCCCGGGGTTAGCTGGGGACTTCCCCACCGACCCCAGTCTCCATATGGCACTGCTGCTTTGAAATGCCACGTGCAGGCTGGGAACACCCCAGATGGCCCTGGGCTGCATGCAGCGTTTCAAAGTGGCTGTGCCATGTGGAGCCCGGGGTCATCCCAGCTTCAAGCAGTGCTGTCACTTTGAAGTACCTCCTCTGATAGAGGCAGCAAGGGGGAGAGAAGGGGAGCGACTAGTCAACTATCCTAGTGACTATCCGATAAGCATTTGCTTATCAGATAGTCAACTAGTCCTTCACATCCCTAGGCATGAGGAGGGTGCAGGGTCTGGCATGAGGAATGGGGGTGCTTACCTGGCTCCATGCCTCCCACTACTCTCATTGGCTATGGGAGCAGCGGGGAAAGCCTCCAGGAAAGCAGTTTCCACGCTGCCATTCCCCCATCTGGGAGTGCAACAGTGTGCTGATCTGCTTCCTTCCCCTGCAAGCTGGATTTGGCCCAGAAGGTTTGTTCCACCTCCCCCTGCAGTGGGAAGCCAGCACTTGTGCTCCAACTTCATGGTGTGGGGGCACATGCGGGGTAGAAGTGCTAGTACAGGCTCCCCAGTGCAGGGGGCGCATAAGCCCTGAGCCAATGGCCCACCTGCAAGACAACTGTGGATCATGCTTTCAGAACTATTGCATTAGCAGAAAACTGTTGTCAGTTGGCCAGTAGAAAATAAGAAGAGAGACCTCCTCATGCTTATTTTTTCCTATTAGTGAACAATCTCCTTAGCAATATTGCCATGATGATCTACAAAATCCTGGGCAGAAATTAGTTACTATAGCAAGAAAATCCTTTCTGCATCAGCATCTGATAACTATGGAATACAGACGTGAAATAACCACTAAAACCTTGAGATGTTTAACTGATCTTTTTACCAATTCTTTAAATATATAAGTTTTCAATTTACTAGACAAGTTAAAATATCCAATAAAAAACATGTCTTAACACAAACATGAAAAGAACACAAAACACTACAAACATATGCAAGCATCCATAAAAGCCCACAACTGTGGTGCCCCAACCAGCTGAATTCGCCAAAAGCCACAGCCTGCCTA